GTAACCGGAGGTCCCAGACCTCTCCGCCGAGGGTTCCAGCGCGTGGTCCGACGGACCCTCGGGTCAAGCCCGAGGGTGACAGCAGCAGAAAGCCCGCTCTTGACGTCGCTCCGCAATCCCTCTCCCTGGTTGGAGAAAACCGCCTACGCGAGACGGCAACTGGGTGCGAGAGGCATGCGGGCAATGCAGGTGCGCTTCGTTGCAGTCTCAGTCTTCCGGACAGCGGCTGCCGGGAATCGGATAGCCGTTGCGGTCCATCAAGCATCCATCCGAACACACGACGACATAGGGTCCCTGCTTCGCCGGAACAGGGCTGTCGGGATCGCCCTTGTAGAAGCGGACGCTGTTGCCGCTGTTCTCCGGGTCTTCCCAGCACCACCCGTCGCCGCCGCGCAATGCGCGACCGCGCCAGGTTTCCGGTATCTGCGCAGGTCGGGACCTGCCGGTCCAGGGTTCGTCCATGCCGTTCAAAACCGTCCCTGCCAGCTCACCGCCGGCCGAAGAGCTTCTCGATGTCGGCCAGCTTCAGCTCCACATAGGTGGGCCGGCCGTGGTTGCACTGGCCGGAGTGGGGCGTCTCTTCCATCTGGCGCAGCAGGGCGTTCATCTCCTCGACGTTGAGGATACGCCCGGCGCGCACCGAACCGTGGCAGGCCAGAGTGCCGCAGACATGCTCCAGCCGGTCGCGCAGCGCCAGCGCTTCGCCCAGTTCCGCCAGTTCATCGGCAAGGTCGCGGATCAGGCCCGGCACGTCGACGGTGCCGAGCAGCGCCGGCACCTCCCGCACCACCACGGCGCCGAGGCCGAAGGCCTCCAGCACCAGACCCAGGTCCGCCAGTTCTTCCGCGCGGGCGACGACGCGGGCAGCGGCGGTTTCCTCCAGCTCCACCACCTCCGGCAGCAGCAGCATCTGTCGGGCCACGCCCGTCTCGCCGAGCTGTTCCTTCATGCGCTCGTAGACCAGACGCTCGTGGGCGGCGTGCTGATCGACGATGACGATGCCGTCGCCGGTCTGCGCCACGACATAGGTGCCGTGCACCTGGGCGCGGGCGGCGCCGAGGGGGAAGCCGTCCCCCGCCGCTTCCGCCTCTGCTTCGGCGTGGACGTTGGGGGCTGCCGCGGCGGGCGCCTGGGCAAGGCCCGGGAGAGTCCCATGCGACACCGCCGGCTGGCCCAAAGGCGCCTGGTAATGCGCGGTGGCTTCGGCGAGGCCCCTTGGCAGACGCGTTCCCTGCGGCTGTCCCCAAGGTAGGCCCCCACCCGCCCCGCTGCCCATCCCACTGCCCATCCCACTGCCGGGGCGCAGCACGCCGAGCGCAAGGTCGGAGACTGTGGTGGCGGCGCGGTGCCCGGCCTCGGCCAGGGCATGCTTGGCGGCGGAAACGATGAGCCCGCGCACTAGGCCGGGATCGCGGAAGCGCACCTCCGCCTTCGTCGGATGCACGTTCACGTCCACCTGCTCCGGTGGCAGGGTGACGAAGAGGGCCACCAAGGGATGGCGGTCGCGGGCGAGGAAATCCTGATAGGCCCCGCGCACCGCGCCATAGAGCAGCTTGTCGCGCACGGGCCGGCCGTTGACGAAGAGATACTGCTGCTGGGCGTTGCCGCGGTTCAAGGTCGGCAGGCCGATGTAGCCGGTGAGGCCGATCCCCTCCCGCTCGGCGGAGATCGGCAGGGCGTTGTCGGCGAAGTCGCGCCCCATGACGGCGGCGAGTCGCTTCAGGCGGGCGTCGAAGAGCGCCCCCTCCGCCGGGGCCAGGGAGATCAGCTTGCGGTCCCCGTCGCTCAGCGTGAAACCCACCTCCGGATGGGCCATGGCGAGGCGGTTCAGCGTGTCCTGTGCATGGGAGACCTCGGTGCGCGCGGTCTTCAGGAACTTGAGCCGCGCCGGGGTGGCGAAGAAGAGGTCGCGCACCTCCACCCGCGTGCCCTTGGGATGGGCGGCCGGCTGCGGCGCCCCCACCCGGCCGCCTTCGACGGAGAGGGTCCAGGCCTCTTCGGCACTGGGCGGGCGGCTGGTGACGCCGAGCCGGGCCACGGCGCCGATGGAGGGCAGCGCCTCGCCGCGGAACCCGAGGGAGGCGATGTGCACGAGGTCGTCGTCCGGCAGCTTGGAGGTGGCATGACGCTCCACCGCCAGCAGCATCTCCTCCGGCGTCATGCCGCAACCGTCGTCGGTGACGGCGATCAGCGCCCGCCCGCCGTCGCGCAGCACCACGTCGATATGGCGCGCCCCGGCATCGAGGGCATTTTCCACCAGTTCCTTCACCGCAGCGGCCGGCCGCTCCACCACCTCGCCGGCGGCGATCTGGTTCACCAGGGTTTCGGGCAGACGGCGGATGGGCATGGGAGGCGGTCTCCGTTTTAGTGAACAAAGCCTAGCAGGGAGGGCGGAGTCGCGGAAAGTGGGTGCCTACCAGCGCCGCAGCTTCACGATGACATCCGCGATGCCGCGGGCCCCGAACAAGCAGAGCAGCCCGAAGCCGCTTGCAAGGACCGACGTCAGGATCGACGAAAGCAGACCCGTGCGGTCGCGGATGGCCCCGCCGCCACCGTCCTCGAAAAGCAGGGAGAGTTGCCCCAACAGCGTCGGCAGATGATGTATCAGCACCCAGGCGCCAAGGACGACCAGCGCCAATGTGAGAACATGCTGCCGCGTCCAGAAGGGTGCCGCCTCCTCACGCGGCGGCGCGCGCCCGGGCGCAACCCGTTCGGCAATTCGTCCCGCGCCGAACCATAGAGCAAGGAAAACGACGAGATTGACCGTCAGCGACGTCCCGAAAGATAGGACGAACTGGTCAAATCCTGACATCGCGACTGTTAGCGTGTGCGCAAAGGTCAGCAGAGCCGCATAGAGGGCATAGAGCGCCAGCAGGCGGCAACCGACGAAGGCGAGATCTCTTGCGCTGATCATTTCAGAACATCACCCCAGAATGAAATTCAAAGCGGGTCGCTCGACTTAGAAGCGAAGGCCCCGAGCCTACGATATCCTGAGATCGACGGACAGTAGGCGCGCGGCTCGGCCGCCTGATGGCGAAGCGAAGATTGACGCGGATCAAGGCGTCCAAGGGGGCTGCGCGGTGAAATCGGCACCAACCAAGCCAATCCCCTGACACGAGGTTACGATGGTCGAGCAATCCCATACCGCCGGCTGGTGGCCGCGGCTCTACGAACCCTTCCAGACCCTCGGCCAGAAGGTGGCCGACTGGTTCGCCCCGCGCTCCGACGCGTCGACCCTGGAGGACGCCTACGAAATCAACGTCGAACTGCCCGGCGTCAATCCCGATGACGTCGACGTCTCGATCCACAACAACAGCCTGATCGTTCGCGGCGAGAAGCGCCATACGCGCCAGGAGAAGGGTCGCACCTTCTTCTTCTCCGAGCGCGAGTACGGCCTGTTCCAGCGCTCCTTCCGGCTGCCGCCGGATGCCGACGCCGACAGTATCGATGCCAGTTTCAGCGACGGCGTGCTCTGCCTCAAGATCGCCAAGCAGGAACCCTCCAAACCCGCCGGCAAGAAGATCGAGGTGCGCCGCAGCTAGCGACGCCGGCTAGAGGTCTTTCCGAACCACCGGGCGCGTCGCGGCGCGGCGCGCCACCTCGACGAAGCCCTCGTCGAGGAAGGCGGCAAGCGTGCCGGGAAAGAGATCGCCGGAGCCGGGCTTCCTGCGCGCCGCGCGGTCGACCGGGTAGGCCTCGACCGCCACGGCGCCCTGCCTGCGGGCATGCTCCACCGCCGCGCGGACCAGCCGGCGCAGCAGGCCCTGCCGCCGGTGTTTCTTGGCCACGATGAAACAGTTCACCGACCAGACGTCCTTGTCGTCGACGGCGGCGAAGCTGCGGGAGCGGTTCAGCCGGTCGAAGACCCGGCGCGGGGCCACCCCGCACCAGGCGGCCGGCGCGCCCTCCGCATAGGCGATCAGCCCCGGCGGCGGGCCGCGTTTCACCAGCTTGCGGAAGAACGCGCGGTTGCCGCTGTCCCAGCCGGCGCGGTAGTCCGCGTTCGAGCAGTACCAGTAGGCGCACCAGCAGCGGGAGGCATCGCCGCAGTCGTTGAACACCGCTTCGGCATCCTCCAGGCGTTGCGGCGTGAGCGGCTCGAAGGTCAGACGGTCGGGCATGAGGGCAGTCTGCGGCAAAGACAGCGGCGCGGCAATCGCCCCGGGCGGACCCGGTCCCCCTTTGAGGCCGCCGGCCCCTTTCGATAAGGTTCCCCTGAGCAACCTCGGGAGCCCTCATGGCGCGTGATTTCGAGTGGGACGATATCCGTGTCTTTCTCGCCGCCTGCCGGGCGGAATCGCTGACCGGCGCGGCGCGCAGGCTCAAGGTCAGCCAGCCGACGGCAGGCCGGCGCCTCAAGGCCCTGGAGGAGCGGCTGGGGGCGACGCTGTTCGAGCGGCTGCCGGACCGGCTGGTGCTGACGGAGGCCGGGCGCGCGCTGCTGCCCTTCGCCGAAGAAATGGAGCAGCAGAGCCTGGCGCTGTCCCAGGCGCTGGACGGGGCGACTCCGACGGCCGAAAAGGTGATCCGCGTCACCGCCATCGAATCCCTGGCGGTGTTCCTGGCCCGCGCGTTCGGCGAGGTGGAGGCGCGCTGCGCGCCCCATACCGTCGAGCTGATCGCCACCGGCGAGCGGCTGAACCTGGCGCGGCAGGAGGCCGACATCGCCTTCCGCATGAACGCGGTGCCGACGCGCGGCGATCTGATCTGCCGCAAGCTGGGCCGCCTCGCCTTTGCGCTCTATGCGCGGCGCGATCATGCGGAGGAACTGGCCGCGGACCCGGCGGCGCTTCAGCACGCAGATTTCGTCGGCTACCGGGAAAACCCGCGCAAGGCCTCACAGTCGCGCTGGCTGTTCGACTTCGGCAATGACGGCCGCTTTCCCCTGCGCGTCAGCGATCTCCAGCTGCGTTACGAAGCGGCGCGCAGCGGCCGGGGCGTCACCCTGCTGCCCTGCCACCTGGGCGATGCCGATCCGGAGCTGGCCCGCGTGGACGGACCCATCGCGGCACTGGAGGAAGACATCTACCTGCTGATGCACGAGAGCCGGAAGGGGCAGCCCGCGGTCCGCCAGGTGGCGGAGGCCCTGGCGGCGCTGATCCAGGCGCGGCAGGACGCGCTGACCGGCAGGGCGAACTGACCGGCACAGCGCCGCCCTGACGCGGACCTGAAAGGCGTCTGACGGGGGTCCCGACAAATCTGCATGCAGTCCCTGCGGACTTGGTGGGTTCCGCCGCGGCGGCGCAGCTTTAGCCTGTCGGGACCTGCCGTCCCCTGAGGGCGGGCCCAGCGGAGCGGAGCAGCGTCATGCCGGCAGAGCAGTTCCAAGAGGAGCACTTCCCCGAGAGACATTTCCGCGAGGGGCACTTTCGCCTCGTCCTTGCCTTCGCCGCCTTCGGCCACGCCTGGTTCCACGTTCTGGTCGCACTGTTCCTGACCCTGGTGCTGGTGCTGGAGCCGGCCTGGGAGCGCCCCTATGACGATCTGATCGGGCTGTGGACGGCGGGCGCTTTCCTGTTGGGGCTGGCCGCCCCGGCCGCCGGGTGGCTGAGCGACCGCTGGGGCGAAGCGCGGATGATGGCGGTCTATTTCCTGGGGATCGGCCTGGCGGCGATCCTCTGCGGGCTTTCGGGCAGCCCGCAGCAGCTTGCCGGCGCCCTCGCGCTCATGGGTCTGTTCGGGGCGATCTATCATCCGGTCGGGACCGCCTGGATCACCAAGCATGCACAGCGGCGGGGCCGCGCCCTCGCCCTGCTCGGCCTCGCCGGCAGCATTGGCGCCGCCATCGCCTCTCTCATCGCCGCACTGCTTGCCCTTGCGCTCGGCTGGCGCCTGGCCTTCATCCTGCCGGGCGCGGTCTCCGTGGCGGCGGGCCTTGCGCTTGCCGCCCTCGTCGCCGGGGGGCGCATTGTCGACACCGCCGACGACGCGGTCGCCGGAGGGGAGCCCGGCCGCCCGGAACGGCGCCGCGCCTTTGCCGTGCTGGCCGTCACCATGTCGCTGACGTCGGTGGTCTACGTGGCTTTCACGACCATGCTGCCAAAGTGGTTCGAGCGCGAACTGGGTGCGGGGTCCGGCGACGGCCAGCCGGGGAGCAGTCTGGTGGAGAACGGCATGCTGGGAGACGGTCTGCTGGAGGAAAGGCTTCTGGGCATCGGTGCGATGGTCACCCTGGTCTATCTGCTCGGCGCGACGGCTCAACTCTTCGGCGGCCACCTCGCCGACCGGGGCCTGGCCCGCCCGGTCTACATCGCAAGCTACGGCTTCAAGCTCGCCGTCCTGCTAGCCGCCGCCGCGCTCGGCGGCTGGCCGGTGGTGATCGCCGCCGCGGTGATCCTCTTTGCCTTCGACATCGCCGCCCCGGTGGAAAGCGTGCTGATCGCGGGCTTCACGGCGAGCCGCCGGCGCGGCCTTGCCTACGGTCTGCGCAACGGGATCGCCATTGCCGCCGGCCCGCTGGGCGTGCAGCTTGTCGCCTGGACCTTCGACGAGGCAGCCGGCTTCGCAACGCTCTTCCTGGCCCTTGCCGGGATCGTCGGTATCGTCCTGCTCTGCGCCGGCTTCCTGCCGCACAGCGCGGCGAGACAACACACGCCGAAGGAAGCCGCACGGACCATCTGAAGCGGGTCGCCGCGCCTAGTGCTCGAAGTAGGTGCTGGGCGGCACGCCGAGCGCGCGTTTGAACATCGTGGTGAAGCTGCTGGGCGTGCGGTAGCCGAGGTCGATCGCGACCGTCGTGATCGCCTCGCCCGCCGCCAGACGCTCCAGAGCCACCGCCAGACGCAGTTGCTGACGCCAGGCCCCGAAAGACATGCCGGTGTCCAGCAGGAAGCGGCGCGCCAGGGTCCGCTCGCTGAGGTGGACGGCTTCCGCCCAATGCCCGAGCGGACGGTTATCGGCAGGGTTGGCGCGCAGCGCCTGCATCACCTTGCGGACGCGGGCGTCCTCACCCTGCGGCAGGCGCAGCGGCGTGGCCGGCAGGGCGACCAACTGATCCAGCAGGACGGTCATCAGCCGGTGTTCGCGCCCATCGGGCGCATAGTCCCAAGGCAGGCGGGCGGCGGCATCGATCAACTCGCGGGTCAGCGGGTCGATCTGCATGACGGTGGTCTGCCCGGGCAGCTCGCGGCAGTGGTCGGGCGCGACGAAGAGGCCGCGGAACGCAACCTCCCGCGGATAGTCGACGGCATGGGGGGTTTCCGGCGGCAGCCAGACCGCCCGGTGCGGCGGCACGACAAAGAGTGCGTCGCGGGTCCGCACGGAGGCGCAGCCCCGCAGGGCATAGACCAACTGGCCGCGGCGATGACTGTGCCAGTCGAGGCTGCGTGGGCCGGGGTCGTCCCAATGCTCGCCCACAATGGGCGCAGCGGCCCTGTCAGCCGGGTGATCGGCCAAGTGATCGGCGAAGTGATCGGCAAAGTGATCGGCCGGGCCGTCGTCCGAACCGTCGCGCATGGCTGATCTTCCCAAAACATTGACCGGTTCTCGAAAGCCAGATGGGGGCCCCGCCCCCAGATTCAAGCGCAACGACGCGGCGGGCAGAGCGAATCGCCGGCAGGACCCCTGAGCCGCCGGGGTTGGACAGATGGGATTGGAGAGAACGGAATGACGGAACCCGGACACAGGCGGTGGATGTCCGCCGGCACCGCCGCGCTGGCGGTCTGGCTGGGGGCCGCTGCCCCCGTCGGCGCACAGACAATCACCGCCCAGACAATCATCGCCCAGACACCAAGCGGCGATCCCTCCGCCGGCGAGCGGGTCTTCCGGCAGTGCGCCGCCTGCCACACGGTCGAGCCCGACCGCCACCGGGCCGGGCCCTCGCTCTACGGCATCTTCGGCCAGAGCGCCGGGGCGGTGGAGGGCTTTCGCTACTCCCGCGCCATGCAGGAGGCCGAGATCGTCTGGGACGAAGAGACCCTGACCGCCTATCTGACCGATCCGAACGGCTTCCTGCCCGGCACCACCATGCGGATCGCCTTGCGCAATGCCGAGGATGCGCCCGATCTCATCGCCTATCTGCGAACACTGGGAGCCAATTAGGCACCCTTTCGCAAGCACACCCACGAACCCGGGAGACCACCATGATCGACCTCACTGTCAATGCGCGCGCCGTACAGGTCGATGCGCCCGAGGACACCGCGCTGCTGTGGGTCCTGCGCGAACACCTGGGCCTCACGGGCACCAAGTTCGGCTGTGGCGCCGGCATGTGCGGGGCCTGCACCGTCCACGTCGACGGCGTCCCCACCTTCGCCTGCCTGACCGCCGTGGGCGATGTCGCCGGTGCGGCGGTGACGACGATTGAAGGCTTGGGCGAAGGCCCGGGCGAGGGCCCGGAGGGTGAGGCGGATCACCCCCTGAAGCGGGCCTGGGTGGCTGAACAGGTGCCCCAGTGCGGCTATTGCCAATCCGGCCAGATCATGCGGGCGGCGGCCCTGCTGGAGGAGAACCCCGATCCCAGCCGGCAGGAGATCCTCCAGTCGATGAGCAGCAACCTCTGCCGCTGCGGCACCTACAACCGGATCGTCAAAGCGGTGCAGCGCGCCGCCAGGGAGGCTTGATATGCCCAGAGACAGCCATAAGGCCACAGCACAAAGCGATACCCCGTCGCTTTCCCGGCGCGGCTTTCTTGCCGGCACAGCCGCCCTCACCTTCATGATCGGCAGCGGCGGGCTGGTCTCCGTCGCGCGGGCAGACGCAGCAGCAGCAGACAAGACCCTGAAGCCCAGCGCCTGGCTGAGCATCGCCGGCGACGGGACCATCACCATCGTCTTTCCCTCAACGGAGATGGGCCAGGGCAGTTCCACCGCGCTGCCGCTGATCCTCGCGGAGGAACTCGACGCCGACTGGGACCGGGTGGTGATCGAGCAGCTGAGTCGTGACGACCGCAACTTCGGCAACCCGATTTTCGGCGGCGTGCTCTACACCGCCGGCAGCACGGGGGTCTACGGCTACTTCGATACGCTGCGCAAGGCCGGCGCCCAGGCGCGGCGCCTGCTGATGCAGATCGCGGCGGACAGTTGGTCGGTGCCGCTGGACAGCGTCGCCACCGAACCGGGCGCCGTGGTTCACAGCGCAAGCGGGCGGCGGCTGAGTTACGGAGAGATCGCCGCCCTAGACGCCCCCCTCCCCGCCGTCACCGAGGTCGGCGAAGACGATCTGAAACCACGCTCGGCCTACCGCCTGATCGGCCAGAACCTGCCGCGCCGCGACGTGCCGGCCAAGAGCGATGGCACGGAACGCTATGCCATCGACGTGCGCGTGCCCGGCATGGCCTACGCCACCGTGCTGCGCAGCCCGGTGGAAGGCGAAAGCCCCGTTCGAATCGACGACGCCGCCACACTGGGGGTTCCGGGCGTTCTGCAAACCGTGGAACTGCCGGACGGCGTGGCGGTGGTCGCCGAGCGCCTGGAAGCGGCCCTGGCCGGCAAGGACCTGCTGGACGTGACCTGGAGCGAGACCGCCCCGGCGCGCAGCTACGACAGCGCGACGGATCTGGCCGGTTATGCGGCGGCGGCCGGCGACAGTGCCCGCGAGGGCGTGACCTGGGCCGCCCAGGGCGATGCGGCGGCGGCCATTGCCGGCGCCGCGCGGGTGGTGGAGGCGAACTACCTTTCCGACTACGCCTACCACGCCCAGATGGAACCGATGGCGGCGGTGGCGGCGGTCGATGCCGACGGCAAGGGCGCCGAGGTCTGGGCCGGAACCCAGACCCAGAGCTGGACCATGCGCACCATCACCGAGATTCTCGACACCACGGCCGACCGCATCCGCCTGCACATGATGACCATGGGCGGCAGCTTCGGACGCCGTACGGCGCTGACGCAGGAATACCTGCGCGACGCCCTGCTGACCTCAAAGGCCACCGGCCGGCCGGTGAAGGTGGTCTGGAGCCGCGAGGACGACGTGAAGTTCGGCTGGTTCCGCCCTGCCGCCGCCCAGCGCCTGCGCGCCGGCCTGACAGCCGACGGCAGCCTCAGCGGCTGGCACCACCGCGTCGCGACGCCCTCGGTCATTGCCTACTTCAATCCGCTGCGCTGGGATCAGGTGGAACCGAAGGACATCATTTCGATGCGCGGTTCCGAGAACAAGTTCTACAGCATCGCCGATCTCCATGCCGAGCATGTTGTCACCGAGCGCGGTGCGCGGCTGGCGCCCTGGCGCGCCATCGGCGCCAGCTACACCAGCTTTGCCGCCGAAGCCTTCATGGACGAATTGGCGGCAGCGGCCGGCAGCGACCCGCTGGACTTCCGGCTCGGCCTTCTACAGGACAACCCGCGTGGCCGCGAGCTGCTGCAGCGCGTTGCCGGAAAGGCCGGCTGGGGCGCGCCAGAGACGAGGGGCGGCGAGACCGCACTCGGCCTCGCCTTTGCCGGCTATGGCGATTCCATGGCGGCCGGCATCGCCGAAGTGGCTCTTGACCGGAACAGCGGACGGCTTGCCGTCACCCGTTTCTGGGCGGCGGTGGACGCCGGTCTGATCGTGGCGCCGGACAACGCCCTGGCGCAGATCGAAGGCGGAATCATTTTCGGGCTCAGCAGTGCCCTGAAAGAGAGCATCACCATCGCCGGCGGCGAGGTGGTGCAGAGCAATTACTACGACTACGAGATCCTGCGCGCCGACGAGGTGCCGGAGATCGACATCCAGCTCCAGGTCAGCGACGGACCGCCGACGGGCATTGGCGAGGTCGGCACACCAATGGTCGCCGCCGCCGTTGCCAACGCCTTTCACGGGCTCACCGGGCGGCGCTTGCGCCACCTGCCCTTTACCCCGGAGCGGGTGCTGGAGGCGCTGGCCTGAAGGTGCTGGAAAAAGACTGATCGAAACGGTCAGCTGCCGTCGGTCGGGGCCTCGCGGGTCGCTTCGACGCCGACCGGGGCGCCGACGACGACCACCGTCAGGTCATCGGGCCGATAAACCCGCTTTGCCACCCGGCGGGCGTCCTCCAGGGTGACGGCTTCGATGAAGTCGTTGCGCCTGTCGAGATAATCGATGCCCAGGTCTTCCAGCTGCATGCCCACCAGCATGCCGGCGATGCGCCCGGAGCTGGAGAACCGCAGCGGGAAGGAGCCGGTGAGAAAGCGTTTGGCCGCCTCAAGCTCCGCCTCCGTCGGCCCTTCGCTCGCCATCCGCTGCCATTCCTGACGGATCAGATCCAGCGACTCGCCGACCCTCGCGTTCTGGGTCGCCACACCGCCGGCGACCAGGGCGCCGTGGTCGAGCGGGCTGAGATAGGAGTAGACGGAATAGGCGAGACCGCGCTTCTCACGCACCTCCTCAACGAGACGCGAGGCGAAACCGCCGCCGCCCAGAATATAGTTGACGACATAGGCCGCGTAGTAGTCCGGGTCGTCGCGCTTGATCCCGCCCTGCCCCAGGGAGACCACCGACTGGGGGATGTTTTTTTCGATCACCACCAGATCGCCTGCATTACCGATGTCGGCTTCCGGTACGGAGAACGGCTGGGCCGACAGGGGCAGCGGCAAAAAGGTGGAATCGAGCAGGGCTTCCAGTTCATCCGTGGTGATGTCGCCGACGACGCCGATGAACAGTTGATCGCGGGCGAAGCGGTCTTGCACGAAGCCGCGCAGGTCATCGGTGGTGATCGACCGGACGCTCGCCTCCGTGCCCCGCGTCGGCCGCGCATAGGGATGATCCTGGAACATCAGTTGCCTGAGCGTGCGGCTGGCGATGACATCCGGGTCTTCGGCCTCGCGGGAGAGCCGCGCCAGGATCTGGCTGCGGATCCGCTCCACCGGCTCCCTGTCGAAGCGCGGCGCCGTGATCGCCAGGCGCAGAAGCTCGAAGGCACGTTCGCGGTTCTCGGTGAGCGTGGTCAGCGAACCGTTGAAGTTGTCCAACCCAGCATTGAACCGCAGACCGATGGAGAGATCGTCGAGCGTGCCCTGAAAGGTCTGGGAGTCGAGCGGCCCCGCCCCCTCGTCGATCAGACCCGACACCATGTGGGCCAGGCCTGGCTTGTCTTCAGGGTCGAGGGAGGCGCCGCCGCGAAACACGAGTTCCACCGCGATGATCGGATTGCTGTGGTCCTCGACCAGCCAGGCCTCGATCCCGCCGGGGCTGACGACGCGCTGAACCTCCACGGCCCGAGCCTGAAAGGCCGCGAAGAGGGTCGCGAGGGCCAGGAGGCCGGCAACGGCCCCCGCAACCCAGGAGGGCCTGGCGGAAGACGCGGCCGGTGCCTGCGCGGCAGGCAGCGTTCTTTGATGGCCCCGCGCGTATCGATGGACCTGAGGTTCCGGATGTCTGTGCATGAGCTTCAGCCTCTTCAGGTGGTCGGCTTCGGCAGGAGATAGCCGGTAACCGATTGCTCTTCGCGGAAAACGCTTTCCAGCAGACCGTTCACGTCTTCGACGGTCACGGAATCGATGCGCTGCGGCCAGGCCTCGATGTCTTCCAGGCTGCTGCCGGTGGTCAGGGCGTTGCCGATGATCCGCGGCGCGGTGCTGAGATTGTCCCGCGCATAGACGGCGCCGGCGACCAGCCGCTTCTTTGCGGCCGTGACCTCGTCTTCGCCGATGCCGGTTTCGAGCAGCTTCGCGATCTCCGCGCGCAATGCCGCCTCGACCGCCGCGATGTCTCCGTCCGGCCGCGGCGAGGCATAAAAAGAAAAGGTCGCGTAGTCATAGGCCATCGGGTTATAGCCCGAACCGGCGGAGGCGGCGATGCCCTGATCCACCACCAGCCTGCTGTAAAGGCGGCTTGTGGCGCCGCCGCCCAGGATCTCGGAAAGCACCTGGAGGGCATAGGCCTCGGCGCCTTCGGCCTGCCGGTAGCTGGGCGCCAGATAGCTGATGGAGAGGCTCGGCTGGCGCACGCGCGGGCTGCGCAGCGTGACCTCGCGGGCACCGTTCTGCGGCGGCTCCGCAACGCGCTCACGCATCGGGATATCGCCGGCCGGAATGGGCCCGTAGTAGGTTTCCGCAAGGCGGCGCACCGCCTCCGGGTCGACGTCGCCGGCAACGATCAGTATGGCGTTGTTGGGGGCATACCAGCGCTCGTAGAAGCGCAGCGCCGCCTCGGTGTTCAGTTGCTCGATCTCGTGATCCCAACCAATGATGGGGATGCGGTAGGGGTGGTTGAGAAACTGGGTCGCACGAATCATCTCACCCAGCTGTCCGCGCGGTTCGTTGTCGATGCGGCTGCGCCGCTCCTCGCGCACCACCTCGCGCTCCGGCGTCACCACGTCGTCGGTCAGCACCAGGTTGGCCATGCGGTCGGCCTCGTGGCGCATCATGATCTCCAGGCGGTCGGCTGCGACGGTCTGGAAGTAGCCGGTGTAATCCCAGGATGTGAAGGCGTTTTCCCGTCCGCCGTTGGCGGCGATGATCTCGGAGAATTCGCCGGGCTCCAAGGACTCGGTCCCCTTGAACATAAGATGCTCAAGAAAATGGGCGAGGCCGGATTCGCCGGCCTGTTCGTCGGCGGCGCCAACCCGGTACCAGACCGAATGGTGGACGATGGGCGCCCGCTGGTTCACCACCACGACGACCTGCAGGCCGTTGTCCAGGGTGAAGCTGACCGGGTCGAAAACCTTGGCCTGCGCCGTCTGAAGCGGGCCGCCGATCTGGACAACGAGAGCCAGGACGCCGATGGCCAACAGCCGACGGGCGTCTTTCAAGACCTTCATGGGCGCAAATCCCTCATCTGGTGCCGAGGCCCGCGCGGGCCGTCATGGGCTTCTAGCCGTTATGGGCTTCTATATGGCCCGCAGCGGCAAGGCCGCAAGCAGCACCATGGCCAGCGGAGATGAACTTTCGGTCACAAAACCGTTCGGAAGGCCGCTGTCCCTGGCCCTGGTCCCGTCCTGACCCGGTGTTCCGGAAACCGCCGCGGCCCACCGCAAGACGGCATTCTCGGCGGCAGAGCCTAGAAAATGCCTTCCCTAGAAGATGCCCTCCAGGGGCGCCCGGCGGCGGCGCTCGATCTGCGGCGTCGGCCCTGTGGTCGGCGACTGGCCGAGGGCGGCATTCTCCTGCAGACGGCGCAATTCTGCCTGCGGATCGACGATGGTGCCGGCCGGCGCCTGGGCGTTCCAGAACACCAGCCGATCCACGAACCGCTCGGACTCTTCGTTAATCTGGTTGGTTTCGCGCTCAACGATAAGGCGAATGTTCGGCTCGGCGCTCTGCGCGCCGGCTGCATTCAGAAGCGACTGTTCGCCAAGAGAGCGGTTGGGGTTGATCGCCGTCTGGGTCACCACGGTCGGTTGCCCGGCCGAATTGCGCAAGACCGCCCGTTCGGCCTGCTGCGCCGACGTGCCTTCCTGCGGCCGCGGCGCCCCCGGCTCAGGCGGGCGCAACGAAAAGTCCGGCGGCACGGTCAGCGGCGCCCGGGACACCACGCGGAATTCGTCGGGAGACTGCTTGGTGAGGCCCAATTGCTCACGGAACCCCCCACAGGCGGCCAGCGCCAACATAAGACTGCCGGCAACAAGTAAACGGAAAGTCATCGCTCGATCCATCGTTGACTACCTCCCTATCCCCGGACCCCTATTTACTCTTCCTGCCCACTTCGAACAAGCCATCAACAACAATCAGTGCTGCACCGCACACAATTGCACTGTCCGCGATATTGAACGCCGGCCAGTGCCATCCGGCCAGGTGAAAGTCCAGAAAGTCGACCACCCCCGGCTGGTGCATACGATCGATGACATTGCCGATCGCACCACCGACCACCAGGCCGATCCCATAGGGCAGCAGCCCGACGGGCTGGCGTTTGACCCAGACCAGCAGGGCCGCCACCACCGCCAGGGCCAGGCCCGACAGCAGATAGGGGCCCCAGGGCGAGTCGTTCTGGAGCAGGCCGAAGCTGACCCCGGTGTTGTAGGTCAGCACCAGATTGAAGAACCCGGTCACCTCCACCACGCTGCCCCGCCCGGCCATGGTGGCCAGGATCACCGCCTTGGTGATCTGGTCCAGGACGAGAACGACCGCCGCGAGGCCAAGGGTCCGCTGCATGCGCGCCGTGAACCCCGCCGTCCGCTACTGCGCCGCGGCGCCGAGGTGCTGCACGGCATCGGCGCAGCGCCGGCATGTCCCGGGCGCCTCGGGGATGCTGCCCACCTCCGGCAGCACCTTCCAGCAGCGCTCGCACTTCTCGCCCTCGGCCAGACGCACAGTCACCGCAACGCCGGCAACCTCGTCCAGGCGAAAGGCCTCCGCCGGGCCTTCGCCCTCGGTCACGGTGATCGCCGAGGTGATGGCGATGTCCGCCATATCGACGTCGGCGACGGCGGCCAGCAGGTCCGGCCGGGCGACGAAGACTTCCGGGTGCCCCTGCAGGCTGGAGCCGAGACGCTTGTCCGCGCGCTCCAGCTCCAGGGCCCCGGTGATCACCCGGCGGACATCACGCACCTTCGACCACTTGGCGGCCAGGGCCTCGTCGAGCCAGCCTGCCGGCACCTCCGGGAAGGTGCGCAGGTGAACGCTGGCCTCAGGCCCCTTGCCGCGCGCCCACCAGGCCTCCTCGGCGGTGAAGCAGAGGATCGGCGCCAGCCAGGCCGTGAGACAGGAGAAAACCTCGTCCAGCACCGTGCGGCAGGCGCGCCGGCGCAGGGAATCCGGCCGGTCGCAATAGAGCACGTCCTTGCGGACGTCGAAGTAGAAGGCCGAAAGGTCGACGGCGCAGAAGGTGTAGACCGCCTGATAAAGGGCGTGGAAGTGAAAACCCTCGACATTGCGGCGCACCTGCCGGTCCAGTTCCGCCAGGCGATGCAGCACCCAGCGCTCCAGTTCCGGCATCTCCTCGGCGTCCAGGCGCTCGCTTTCCTGGAAGCCGTCGAGGTTGCCCAGCAGGAAGCGCAGTGTGTTGCGCAGCCGGCGGTAGGCGTCGCCCTGATACTTCAGGATCTCCGGCCCGAAGCGCAGGTCTTCCTCGTAGTTCGAGGCAACCACCCAGAGCCGAAGAATATCGGCGCCCTGGTTGTCCACCACATCCTGCGGGGAGAGCGCGTTGCCCTTCGACTTCGACATCTTTTCCTTGCCCTGCTCCTCCAGGATGAAGCCATGGGTCAGGACCGCCTCGTAGGGCGCGCGCCCGCGCGTGCCGGCGGATTCCAGCAGCGAGGTGTGGAACCAGCCGCGGTGCTGGTCGGAGCCTTCGAGATAGAGGTCCGCCGGCCACTTCAGTTCCGGCCGTGCCTCCAGGACAAAGCTGTGGGTGGAGCCTGAATCGAACCAGACCTCCACCACGTCTGTGATCTGCTCGTAGTCCTCGGCGTTGTACTCGTTACCGAGGAAGCGCTGCGGATCGCTGGAGAACCAGGCGTCGCCGCCCTCTTCCTCGAACGCGGTGGCGACTCTTTCGATCACTGCCGGGTCGCGCAGCGCCTCGCCGGTCTTCTTGTCGACGAAAATCGGCAGCGGCACGCCCCAGAGGCGCTGGCGCGAGATGCACCAGTCCGGACGCTGCTCGATCATCGAGCGCAGGCGGTTGCGCCCGGTCGCCGGCACGAAGCGCGTTTCATCGATCGCCTTCAGCGCCTTTTCCCGCAGTTCGTTGGTCTCCATGGAGATGAACCACTGCGGGGTGTTGCGGAAGATCAGCGGCGCCTTGGAGCGCCAGGAATGCGGATAGCTGTGCCGGAGCTTCCCCCGGTGCAGCAGCCGGCCTGCTTCCGCCAGGGCCGCGATGACCCGTCCATTGGCGTCGCCCGGCTTGCCGTTCTCGTCGTAGACCACCGCGCCGCCGACCAGGGCCACGTGGTCGTAGAAGGTGCCGGAGCCATCGACGGTCTGCGGAATTTCGATGCCGTGCTGCAGGCCGAGCGCCCAGTCGTCGGCGCCGTGCCCGGGCGCGATGTGGACGAAGCCGGTGCCCTGCTCGGTGGTGACGAAATCGCCGGCCAGCGCCGGGACGTCGAAGTCGTAGCCGCCGGCAGCGGGTGCAAAACCGCGCCAGGGATGGGCGCAGACCGCACCGGCCAGATCGTCGGCCGAGAGATCGCCGAGGTGTGTCCAGGCCTCGATCCTGGCATCGGCCTTGACGGTGTCCGCCAGGTCCTTGGCCAGCACCAGCTTCTCGCCGGCCGCGGCGTGGCTGCCCTCACCCGGGGTCTCGACCTGCCAGACGCCATAGGCGATCTCCTCGCCGAAGGCAACGGCCCGGTTGCCGGGGATGGTCCAGGGCGTGGTGGTCCAGATCAGGACGCTGGCACCCTCCAGCAGCGGCGCCTTGCTGCGCACCACCGGAAAGCGTACCCAGATCGTCTGGGAGACATGCTCGTGGTATTCGACCTCCGCATCGGCCAGGGCGGTGCGCTCCACCACCGACCAGAGCACCGGACGCGAGCCCTTGTAGATGCCGCCGTTCTGCAGGAACTTGCCGATCTCCCGGACGATCTGCGCTTCGGCGTCGAAAGACATGGTCAGATAGGGCCGCTCGAAGTCGCCCAGCACGCCAAGGCGCTGGAACTCCTCGGTCTGGACCTTCACCCACTTCTCAGCGAAGTCGCGGCATTCGCGGCGAAACTCCAGCGGCGGCACGCTGTCCTTGTCCTTGCCCGCGGTCCGGTACTGCTCCTCGATCTTCCATTCGATGGGCAGACCGTGGCAGTCCCAGCCGGGCACGTAATGCGCGTCCTTGCCGAGCATCTGGTGCGCGCGGTTGATGACGTCCTTCAGGATCTTGTTCAGCGCGTGGCCGATATGGAGATGGCCGTTTGCATAGGGCGGGCCGTCGTGAAGGATGAACTTCTCCCGGCCCTCTGACTGCTTGCGCTGCTGCTCGAAGAGGTCCATGTCCTGCCAGCGCGCCAGGGTCTGCGGCTCCTTCTTGGCCAGGCCCGCGCGCATCGGGAAGTCGGTCTTCGGCAAAAAGACTGTCGGTCGATAATCAACGCTCATCGCGTGCTTCTTCTTTGTCGGTTCCAGGCCCAGGCTGCAGGCGCCCCGTGTTTGCGGGCCGATCGGTCCGCGGCCCGCCCGTGGCGCCCGGCGCTTGGACGGCTCGGATCAGGAGGACCCGCGGTCAGTTCGGGCCGATCTGCCCCAGGACCGCGCGAGCCTGATCGCAATCGAGGGCGATTTGTGCCTTCAAAGCGTCAAGTCCGTCAAACTTCTTTTCCGGGCGCAGATAGTCGATCAAGCGCACCCGCAGGGTTTCGCCGTAGAGATCGGCATCGTGGTCGAAGAGGTGAACCTCCAGGCGCAGGTCCTCGCCCGCGACCGTGGGTCGCCGGCCGAGGTTGGCGACGGCAGGGATCCACCGGGTTTCCGCGCCGTGCTCCACCCCCGGATCGCGGCCGGCATAGACCGCATAGACGCCCAGGGCCGGGCAGAGGTAGTCCCCGAGCGCGAGGTTCGCGGTCGGAAAGCCGATGGTGCGGCCGCGCTGGTCGCCCTTCTCCACCCGCCCCTCGATCTCCCAGGGCCGGCCGAGGAGTTCGGCGGCTTGGCGCGGGGCGCCGTCACGCAGGTGCTGGCGGATGATCGAGGAGGAATAAACCGCCCCGCCGTGGGTCATAACCGGATCGACCGCCGTAACGCCGAAACCGAGCTTCGCGCCCATCGACTTCAGCAGCGCCACGTTGCCCTGGCGCTTGTGGCCGAAGCAGAAGTCCCAACCGACCACGACGTGCCGGGCGGCCAGATCGGCCACCAGCACCTGCTCGACGAAGGCCACGGCGGGCTGCAGCGAGAAAGCCCGGTCGAAGTGCAGCACGAAGAGGTGGTCCACCCCCTGCTCCTGCAGCGCATGGGCCTTGGACCGCAGGGAGGTCAGGCGGAAGGGGGGCTGGTCCGGCGCGAAGACCGAGCGCGGGTGCGGCTCGAAGGTGAGCACAGCCAGCGGGCAGGACAGCCGGGCTGCCAAGGCGCGGGCATCCGCCAGCAGGGTCTGATGGCCCTTGTGCACGCCATCGAAGTTGCCGATCACCACAACGCTGCCCCGGGCGTCGTCGGAAATCTCTGAGCTGTGTCGGAAGATCGCCATGAATTCGGCCGGTCTGACGCCTGTTGTCGAGGAAGCTGGTGGTGCCGGAAAGAGTGGTCGAAAGGCTCGAAAATCGAAGGGCCGGAAGTGGATGGGCCGAAATCGGATGGACGGTCTCGCCCTCAGGCGGTGCGAGCGGCAAGGCCGGGAACTAAACCGAAAACGGGGGTCAGTCCAGCCGATTCGCCGCCGCGGCGCGAAGATAGCCCGCCTATGCCTGCGTGAACAGGGCGCGAAGGCCCGCGCCAGCGAACGGCCGGCCCTGGTTGCCGGCCCTGGTTACTGGGGGCCCGGCCCTCAAAACGCTCAAGCCGGAGCGGAGGCCGGGGTTGCGGAGCAGTGGGTGGCGGAGCAGTGGGTGGCAGAGCGGTCCGGGTTAGCGCCCGTCTGAAAACGCCCGCCTGAGGGCGCCCCCCTACGAGCGCCGCTCTATTCCGCCGCTTCGGGTTCGGCGTCGGGCAGGTCCTTGCGGCTGGCCACCATCAAGGTCGCCTCGCCCTCCAGGACCACCGTCTCGCCGACCGTGCAGACGGTGTCGAAGATGACCCGCTTTCTCTCGGCCTGGATCTCCCGCACCGTGACCCGCGCTTCGACGGTATCGCCGACCTTGACCGGCGCCTTGAACCGCAGATCCTGGCGCAGATAGATGCAGCCGGGCCCGGGCAGACGGGTTCCGAATACCGTCGAGATGAAGCTCGCGGACAGCATGCCGTGGGCGATACGGCCGGAGAACATGGTCTGCTCGGCAAAGCTCTCGTCCAGGTGAACCGGATTGGTGTCACCGGAGATGCCGGCAAACATCGTAATATCGGCCTCGGTTACCGTCTTGGCGAACACCGCCGTCATCTTCGGCGACAGGTCTTCGATGAAGTAGCCATGCTTTTCGCGCATCAGACTCGAACCTCTGCCAATGAAACAATGTTTCTAAAACCGATTAATTTCGGCAATTTTGTTCTTTCCACTGTAGTGGAACAGGCTTCTTTTCGCAAGTGCGAATTCGCGGATGCGAAGGCGACCTAAGTATGACGGCAGTTGGTAAACTTCGCCTTATCGGCGCGCTTTTTCGGCGATGCGTCCCGCTGTTGCAGAACCGGCCCGCCGACTTTCCGGCGCCTGCCTCTCCAGCGTTTGCTTTAACGCCTGCGGGCGCGGCCGGTGGTCATGGCCGCGAGGTCGCGGTCGCGGTGATCGCGGTAGGCATCGAGCGTCAGCGTCGCCGTGGCCGCGTTCATGGAGGTGGTGACCGGCACGCTGGGCCCCTGCTCGGCCACCGGCACGGCCGCCCGCCGGACCATGCGATAGATGGCAAAAACGCCGATGGCCGCATGGACCAGACCGACGAAGGTGAAGAACCCGTCCGGCCCGACCCGGCCCATGAGCTGCGAGACGACCAGCGGGCCGAAGATGGCGCCGCTGCCGTTGACGAGCATCAGGCTGCCACTGGCGGCGACCATCTGCTTGGGCGTCAGATAGTCGTTGGTGTGGGCCAGGCAGAGCGAATACATGGGAAAGCTCATGCCGCCCAGAAGAAAGGCGACGGCATAGAGCCCGATCCGGTTGTCGCCGGAAAACAGAGGTGCCGCAAGCCCGACGAGCGCGGCTGAGAAGGTGACCGCGGCCAGAACGCGGCGGCGGTCCAGCTTGTCGGAGAGCCGCCCGATGGGCCATTGGAAGGCCATGCCGCCGAAAATCAGCATGCTCACGAAGAGGGCGATTTCCGAGACTTCCAGCCCTGCGAGACTGGCATAGACCGCGCCCATGCCGAAGATCGCGCCGTTGGCGACACCGGTGCCCAGCGATCCGACCACCCCCAGCGGTGATGCGCGGTAAAGCGCCCGGATGCCGACCGGGTTGGGTGCGGAGAAATCAGGCGCCGGCCCCACCGACACCGAAATCGGCACCAGGGCCAGGGAGACCAGGACCGAGGCCAGCACGAAGAGAACGAAGCTGTTGGGGTCGGAAAGGTTCAGCAGGAACTGCCCGCCGGCGATGCCGCCCAGGACCACCAGCATGTAGACCGACAGCATGGAGCCGCGGGTCTCGTTGGTCGAACGGTCGTTGAGCCAGGATTCGGCGACGATGTAGAGGCCGGCATAGCAGAACCCGGTGAGGACCCGCATGAGCATCCAGATCCAGGGGTCGACGAAGACCGCATGCACCAGCGCGGCCGTCGAGGCGGTCGAGGCGAGCGCGGCGAAGACGCGCACATGGCCCACGTTGCCGACGGCCCGGGGCGTAACGAGGGCGCCGGCCAGGAAACCGATGAAGTAGCCGGACATGACGAGACCCGTGGTCTCGGTGCCGAAATTCTCAGCCGAGGCGCGGATACCCAGCAGCGAGGCCTGCAGCCCGTTGCCCAGCATGATCATGCCGAGGCCGACGAAAAGCGCCCAGGCGGAGCGAACAGCAGCGAACATGGCCGATCCCGTCGTTTTCTTGCCGTCTTCGACGTGCACCCACTTTGTGCTTATGCCGCTCAGGACGGCCGGGCGCTATCGGAAATGCGGCAAAAGCCAGGCGCGAACGGGCGAAACGCCGGAACCGTCACCGCCGCGCGTCCCAAGCCGCGTCACAGGCCAAGCCGCGTCAAAGGCCAAGCCGCGTCAATGGGTCGCCAGGGCCTCTCGCAGCGCCGTCTGCTCGGCCGCGGAAAAGCCGACGACAAGGCGGTCGCCGGCGCGGATGACAGGCCGCTTGATCAGGGTGGGGTGAGCCAGCATCAGCCGCTTGGCGGCCACGGCATCCAGCCCCTCCTTCTCCGCCGGCGGCAGGCCCCGCCACGTCGTGCTGCGCCGGTTCAGCAGGCGTTCCCAGCCGAGCCGGGCGAGCCAGTCCTCGAGATCGGCAGCCGCGACGCCGTCGTCGCGCAGATCGTGCAGGTTCACCTCGTGGTCACCGGCCTCCAGCCAGGCCCTGGCCTTGCGGCAGCTGTCACAGTTTTTCAGCCCGTAGATCGTGATCATCGCGACCCTCCCATCCTGTCCACCTTGTTCACCTGTCCCCCAGTTCACCGGCGCCCGGCCTGCGCACGGCGCGCCGAAAACCCCGAAACCGACACCGGCGGCCCGACGGGCTCCACGCAGAGAGACCAGCGCCTCGAGGGCCGAGGTGCGAGGTCACAGCCATTCCCAGGTAGAACACCATCTCCGTGAGCACAAGGCCTGGCAGGGCCTGGCAGGGCCTGCCGGCCACCGCCATGCGTTGCAGAGCAGGGAACAGCGATCAACCAATTGACAGACGGCCTCTGTGCCGTTGGTCTAGGCAGATGACACGCGCCGCCGACAGTTCCCAAAATAAGGCAGATCCGCCGCTCGGCGGCGAAACCATCGTGCTGTTCGAGGATGACGACCTCGTCCGTCGGGCCACCCAGCGCATGCTGCAGCGTCTTGGCGCCCAGGTGGTCATCGGCAACACCAGCGCGGAGGCGGTAGAGCACCTCCGCGCGCAGGGGGCCGCCCCGACCTGGGTCATCGCGGACTATTGGTTCTCGCGGCTGGAAGACGGGCTGGTGGCCACCCAGGCCGTCCGCGACGCCGTGGGCGGGGAGATCAAAGGCCTCATCATCACAGGCGACAGTTCGGTCGAGGTCGCAAATGCGGTGCGGGCGGCCGGGCTCCACCTGCTGCGAAAGCCAGTGAACACGGATCGCATCATCGCGATCCTGGCGGAGAACGCTTAGACAAAGCGTCATGAGCGTGAGGATATAGCCAAGCAGAGCAGAACGATTATCTATTGGAAGTTGCATAGAGAGCAGACCAGATGCGTGCGGTCTGCAAAGGGATGCCTTTCGGGACGCGGCCAGCACCGGCACAGGCGCGCCCGGGAAACCCAGAGACCCTAGACGATTTCCAGTTGATAACTCTGCGAAAATTCGGACAATGGGCCGCCAACAGCATTGTCGGATCGAAGCCCCCTGCCAAATCAGCGGGCCTTCGAAATTGGCATGCCATAACATTAAGTTGCGGACTGGGTAGGACCACGGACCGCGCAGTGGACCCGAACAAAAGGTCCATTCCGGTCTCTTACAAAGATCAATTCAGGATTCTCTAAATTATGAAAGTCCTCTATGCCGACGACCACTGGATCACGCGCAGCGCTGCCCGCCACCTGATTGATCGCTTGGAAAGCGGCAGCGAGCTTTTGGAGGCCGCCGACTTTCGCCAGGCGCTGGATATCGCATCGGCCAACCCGGATCTCGACCTGATCCTCCTGGATCTGCTGATGCCGGGCATGAAGCGCTTCGAAGGACTGCGCGCAATGCGGGAATGTTTGCCGCAGGTGCCTGTGGTCGTGATGTCGGCCATCGAAGACCGTGACGAGATCCTGCGCTGCATCGAGGCCGGCGCGATGGGGTACATCCCCAAGTCTTCCCAGAGCGACGAGGTGGAATCGGCGCTGCAGACCGTTCTCGCCGGCGGCGTCGCCTTCCCGCGGCGCCTGCTCGAGCAGCGCAGTTCCGCCAAAAAGCAGGCGGTCTATGCCTTCGGCAACGAGAAGTCGATCGAGGACGTTTCCGGCGCTCTGACCAAGCGGCAGTTTCAGGTCTACAAGCTGCTCGGCCAGGGCATGTCCAATGCCCAGGTGGCCGAGGCGCTCGGCCTTTCCGAACACACCGTGCGCGTTCATGTGTCGGCCATCGTCAAACGGCTGAACCTGGACAGCCGGACCCAGGCCGCCATCAGCGCCGCGGCCCAGGCCCGCGCGCTGGAAGACGAAGCGGAAGCCGCGAACTACTGAGCCCGGCCCCAAAGGCCCGGATTAAAGGCCTCACGCAGAAGCTCTGACGGGTGCGACCGGGCCGCGTTCGCCGGCACGGGAGCCTGTAAGGCTGGCCGCGGGCCGCAGCGATCACCAGAAAACGAAGCCTCTTCGCCCGTCGGCGCCGGAACCCGCCGGGCTTTGCGCCGCAACGGCTTCACCCGGATGGCCAGCCGCCTCCGGCCACTGCATCAGCCCCGGCTCTGTTCCAGGGCAAAGAGGCAAAGCGCCCTCAACTGCGCCGGCTTGACCGGCCGGTAAAGGACGTGAACCGGGCCCGGCAGGACCGCGGCGCTCTCGCTCTTGCCCCGGTCGCTCAGCAGGACGACGGCCGGCCGGCCGCCCTGCCTCTCCCGAGCGGCGGCCAGCAGATCCCGCCCGGCCATGGCGTCGAACCCGGCCATATCGGCGACCAGAAGAGCCGGCGGGTGCTCCAGGACCTCCGCAAGCTTGTCAGCGGCATTGGCGCTTATGCGCGGGCGGGCGCCCCAGCGCTGCAGATGGTCCTGAATCACTTCAGCATCCGGGTTGTCAAAGACCACGATGTCGGCGTCTTCCAGCGGGTTGGGCGGCATGTCGAAAGCGGCCTCCGCGCCACCGCCGGGCGACCCGGCGTCGGGGGCCGCTTCCGGCGCCGCCGTCTTCAGCACCAGCGAGACGCGCGACCCGCGCCCCAGCGTCGACTCGACCTCGAGGCTGTCGCCGCAAAGCGTCGCGATGTGTCGGGCCAGGGCAAGGCCGATGCCGAGGCCGCGCTCCCGCGGGCGGACCTCGTTCTCAAGTCGAAAAAATGGTTGAAAGATCCGGGGCTTATCTTCCGCCGGAATGCCAAGACCGGAATCCACCACATCGATCCGCGCCCGGGCGCCCTGGCGCCGTACGCCCAGGATCACCTTGCCCTCGCGGGTGAATTTGACGGCGTTTTCCAGGATCGCGCGGAGAACGCGGCGCACCAAAGCCGGATCGCCATAGACGCTCGCGCTGCTGTTCACCACCCGGAAGGCAATGCCCTGAGCCGCAAATCGCTCGGCGAAGTCATCCTTGAGACCCGCCAGCACCTCATCGAGCGCAAGCGCCCGCGGCGCCGGGGTGACAGCCCCGCCGCCCAGCTTCTCAAGCTCCACCAGGGCGTCGAGCCAGCTGTTGCTGAGGCTGAGCGCAAAGCGCAGGTCCTGGAGGATGGCATCGCGCTCGCGGGCGGACTCGGTCTGCGCCAGTTCGCCGATCAACAGGCTGATCGCGTTGAGCGGCTGCCGCAGCTGGTGCTCCGCACCCAGCAGCAAACTCCGCTGTTGCCCTGACTGTCGCCCCGACTGCGCCTGATCCAATGCGGCTCTCCCAATTTGCGAATCCGGTTCCCGGTCTGCGTCAGAGCAGCATGAATTCCCAAACACCTGTCATCAATGCTAGATCTAAACGGCAGGTCCGGGCCTACGGCCTTGCGGGCACCCTCTTTGCACCAGCCGACATCAAGTCATGAAAATAGTCCAGATCGATGTTTACCAGGTCGACCTGCCGCTTCACGAGGGCCGCTACAGCTGGGCCGGCGGAAAGTCGGTCGACGTGTTTGACTCGACCGTTGTCCGGATCGCCTGCGACTCAGGGCTCGTCGGGCACGGCGAGGCCTGTCCGCTGGGCCCGGCCTATCTGCCCAGCTTTGCTGCGGGCGTACGCGCCGCCCTCGGCGCCCTGGCGCCCGATCTCCTGGGCTGCGACCCGCGCGCCGTGGACGCCATCGGCGCGCAGATGGATGCCTGCTTGAAGGGCCAGCCGGCGGCCAAGTCGGCCGTCGACATGGCGTGCTGGGATCTGCTGGGCCAGGCTGCGGAGCTGCCCGTTCACCTGCTGCTCGGCGGGCGCTTCGGGGAGAGCGTCGCGCTCTACCGGGCGATTTCCCAGGATACGCCACCCGCGATGGCCGAACGTATCAGGCAGTACCGCAGCGAAGGCTACCGGCGCTTTCAGCTGAAGGTCGGCGGCGAGCCGGACGAGGACATCGCGCGGATCGAGGCGGCGGCGGAGGTTCTGGAACCGGGCGACGTCCTGATCGCCGATGCGAACACGGGCTGGCTGCCGCACCAGGCGCGCCGCGTCGTCCGCGCCGTGCGGGCGCTGGACGTCTACATCGAGCAGCCCTGCCTCGGCTACGAGGAGTGCCTGACGGTGCGGCGCGCCTGCGACCACCCCTTCGTGCTGGATGAATCCATCACCGATGTCGAGAGCCTGCTGAGGGCCCAGCGCGACGGCGCCATGGACGCCATCAACATCAAGCTCGGCAAGGTGGGCGGCCTCAGCAGGGCGCGCCAGCTGCGCGACCTCTGCGTGCGCCTCGGGCTGGCCATGACCATCGAGGACAGCTGGGGCGGCGACATCGTGACCGCCGCCATCGCCGCGCTGGCGCAGTCCACCCCGGCGCGCTTTCGCTTCACGGCAACCGACTTCAACAGCTATGTCACCCGGCGCATTGCCGAGGGCGCGCCGCAGCGCCGCGACGGCCGTTTCACCGCCAGCAACGCGCCGGGCCTCGGCATCACGCCCCTGCCGGAGGCGCTGGGCGCGCCGGTCATGACCTTCGCCGTCTGAGATCTCATCCTGGCTGTTCGTGCCCGGGCCGCTCTCCCTATCGCCCTGCCTATCGCCCTGCCTATCGATAGGCAGGGCGGGCGAGGCCGTCAGACTCCGAAAGACCTCAGTGGAGATAGCGGATCAGGTAGCGGCTGCCCTTGACCACATGTCCGCGGCCATAGCCGTCGTAGCACATGACGCCGCCGATCAGCGCCTTGCGGCCGTGGCGAAAGCTGACCTTGCTGACGTCATGGCAGCCATGGCCGGCGTAGCGGCCGTGATGACGCCGGGGATGGTGATGCACATGCGGTCTGTAAGCGTGGGGGTGCCGTTTGAAGTGACGGTAGTTGTGGCGATGGCGCTTGGCCTGGTGGCGCTTGAAGTGGTGGCGCTTGAAGTGGCGGTGCTTCTTGAAATGGCGGTGCTTGAAGTGCCGGTGCTTTGAGGCGTGCGGCTTGAAGTGCCGATGCTTGAAGTGGTGATGGCTCCGGTGGTGCACGAGCTCGAGTCTCGCGTCGCCCGGCAGTGTCTGTGCGGCCGGGGCAGCGGCCAGCGTGCCGGCGGCCGATGCCGGGGCGGTGGCAAAGCCCCCCGCCAGCGCGAGCATGCCGGCAAACAGGGCGCCAAAACGGGACGGGCGGAACTTCGATTGAGCGGCAGCCATGGCAGCCTCCTTGCGTCAGGTCTCCCGCGCAGCGTTGTGCGCTCCTGCAGGGGTTCTTCCGCGCAAAACCCGCAAAAAGCCGGGCCTTGTGCCGGGTCCCTGCTTGATGAGCCTTACGCAGGCAGATGGCCGGCCCTCCCCGGGGCGGCCATAAAAGTCACATCACAAGACGGTGAGAAAAGAAGGGAGGGCGCTTGACGGGCGCGGCAATGCGGGAGCCTGCGTCCTCAGGCGGCGCCGCCCGGAACCGTAGGTGCGCGGGTCAGGTGGTCGCCGCCGTCCAGACCCAGCATCTGTCCGGTCATGGAGCGTGCCTCCAGCAGGAACTGCAGGGCGGCGCAGACCTCTTCCAGGCTGGGGCCGGCGTCGAGCGGCAGGCGGCTGCAGCGCTCGGCGAAGTCGGCGTCGGTCTGCCCCTCCACCGGCAGGGTCGGTCCCAGGCCGATCCCGTTCACGCGGATGCGCGGCGCCAGCGCCTGGGCCAGGGTCTGGGTCAGGGTCCAGAGCCCGGTCTTGGAGACGGTATAACTCAGGTAGCGCGGCGTCAGGTTGAGGACGCGGGTGTCGATCATGTTGATCACCAAGCCGGCCGCATCCTGCGGCAGCAGGGCCGCAAAGCGCTGGGTCAGCCCCAGGGGCGCGCGCAGATTGATGTCCTGATGGCGCTGCCAGGACTCGGCCCCTGCGCTGTCGGCGTCGTCGTACTCGAAGATCGAGGCGTTGTTCACCAGCAGGCCCAGCGGCCCGCAGGCTTCCGCGGCGCGCTCGACCAGCGGCGCCAGCGTCTGCGGATCGGCCAGGTCGGCCTGCAGCGCCGCGGCCTTGCCGCCGGCCGCCTCGATGGTCCGGCAGACCGCCTCGGCCTCAGCGGCGGAGTCCCGGTAATGGACGGCCACGGACCAGCCCCTGGCCCCCAGATGGGCGGCCAGCGCCGCGCCGACCCGCCGCGCCGCGCCGGTGACCAGGGCGGCGCGCGGCAACCGCGGATCTTCGAGCGTCTGCGGCGCGTCGGTCATCGACAGGTGCTGTGCATGGTGAACAAGGCTGAGAGGAAACGAGAGCGCGCGAGGGCGCAGGCCGCCCGCCGGGCCCTCACTTGCCGATGATGCCGAGGAACTCCTGGCGGGTCTTGGGGTCGTTGCGGAAGGCGCCCAGCATGCGGCTGGTCACCATGGAGGTTCCGGGCTTGTGGACGCCGCGGGTGGTCATGCACTGATGCGTGGCCTCGATCACCACCGCCACGCCGTGGGGCTGCAGCACCGCGTCGATGGTGTTGGCGATCTGGGCGGTCATCTTTTCCTGGATCTGCAGGCGCTTGGCGTAGACCTCCACGACCCGCGCCAGCTTGGAGATGCCGACCACCCGGCTGCGCGGAAAGTAGGCCACGTGGGCGACGCCGATGATCGGCGCCATGTGATGCTCGCAGTGGCTTTCGAAGCGGATGTCGCGCAGCAGCACCATCTCGTCGTAGCCGTCGGTCTCCTCGAAGGTGCGCTGGAGCATGTCGACGGGATCGACCAGATAACCGCCGAAAAACTCTTCGTAGGCGCGGACTACCCGCTCCGGCGTGCCGGCAAGGCCCTCGCGGGAGGGGTCGTCGCCGGCCCAGCGCAGGAGCGTGCGCACGGCCTCTTCGGCTTCCGCCCGGTCGGGCTTGCGCGCCGCGGCCTCTTTCCGCTCCAGCGCCAGTATGTTGCTGACGTTCTCTGCCTTGTCGTTCATTACGATCTCCAGGTTCCTTCGCACGCCATCAACTAGCCCGCCTTCGGACGATTCCAAGCCGCCTGCCCTTGGCGGGGGGCTTGGCGCAGCCTGGCCGTGCCCTCCGACAGGCGGCGACCCGGCCTGACAGGAGCGACCCCGGCCTGACAGGGGCCACCCTGGCGGTATCTCCGGCGCGCCCGGCCGCGACGCGCACCATAAACGCCTCCGTCAGCCCGTCAAAGGGCGGCGGGATATCGAAGGGCCGGAAAGGGCTGCCGAAAGCCGAGGGCCCCGGATCCAGGCAGGAGGCGGCCACAGTGGCGGGGTCAGGTCTTGCAAGAGGTCATTTGCCGCCGATGATTTGGTTTGGTGCCCCTGGCCTGACTCGAACAGGCACTCCCTTGCGGGAAACAGATTTTGAGTCTGTCGCGTCTACCAATTCCGCCACAGGGGCCCTCACCCATCGATGCCGCGCCCTGAGGTATCTGCGGGCGCCGCACAGCCGCAGCGCGTCGCCGGGCGGGCGGCATCATAGCGGGGTGATGCGCCTTGGCAACCGGTCTCCGGCGTTTTCCAGCGGACAGGTTTGACCTTTCCGCGGCCCAACCCCCTAGATGTTGTGGGAACCGGCGGCAACAGCGGCAGCCGCCGCTGCGCGCCACGGTTTTCTATGGAACTGGGTTTAGAGTCAGGCTTAAATAGTTTGAGCATGCGGTCGATTAAGCTTGTCAGTCTACGAAGTTTTCATGGACGCAATTGCTAGCCGTTGCGACCGCGTTGCTTGATGCGGCGTTCCAGGTAGGGGACCGGTTTGTGTAGTTCGGCGCTCGCGGGCCACCATGCGGCCACAAGCGCCAGGGGTGCAGTTACCAGTGGGGAAGTTTGATACGAGAGCGTGCGGGCCGGGCCCGCATGTGGGAACGGGAAGATACCTGGCATCGCGATCATGCATGACCGTGTCGGACGGCCTGCGCGGCCGCTTCGGCCGGTCGGGCGCCCGGGCGCATAACTTGCGGATCGTCCGATCGCATGGCCGTGCGATGGGAAACGGGCCGGCGCTGCAAGCTGTTCTCTTCGCAGACGACTTCCGGGCAGACGACTTCTGGACAGATGATTTCTGGGCAGATGGCTGCTGGGTGGCACCTGGGGAATCCCGGGCAGTATTGGAGTTGCCGTAGTGATGAATGATCGTGATTTCGAGTCTCAGGAGATCACCCACCGCGAAGTGACAGCCGTGGTCAAGTGGTTCAACGCGACCAAGGGCTTCGGGTTCGTGCAGTTGAACGACGGGTCGCCCGATGCCTTTCTCCACATCTCGGTGGTGGAACGCTCCGGCAACCGGGATTTCGCGGAAGGCACCACGATCGTCTGCGACCTCATGCAGGGCCGCAAAGGCTTGCAGGTGGCCGAGATTCATCGGGTCGAGTCCGCCCCGGCGCCCAGCTTCCAGGCCGATCCGGGGCCGACGGAAGTCATTGAAGGCACGGTGAAGTTCTTCAACGCCGAGAAAGGCTTCGGCTTCGTCATCCCCGACAACGGCGGCAAGGACGTCTTCGTTTCCGGGCGCACGCTGGAGCGTTTCGGGATCGGCGCGCTGGAACCCAATCAAAGGGTCCGCATGCAGACCCGCATGGGCCAGAAGGGCCCGATGGCCGAGCACGTCGAACTGATCTGATCACCGCCCGATTGATCGTCACTCCGCGATCATCGCCTTCAGATCATAACGCCCCTGATCTTCACCCTTTCGGCTTTCCGAAGCGCGCCGGCCCGCCGGGCCGCAGAGCGTGACAGCGGATCTTCGGCGGCGGGTCTCTGGCAGCGGCCCCCTACAGACGAGCGAAGGCAACCCGGCCCGCAGCCTTACTGGACGCTGCCGGGCTCTTCTTCCGGCAGCTCACCCGGCGGAGCGTTACAGGGGCCGGCCTGGTGGTGCACCATCTTCCAATCGCCGCCCTCGCGCACGAAGACATTGGTGGCCACCAGAAGGTTGGAGCCGATGAGCTCGTAGCAGGTCACGAACGCGCTGTCGCCGGCGCGATAGGCGCGCGCACCGCGGCAGGTGATGGCCGGCGCCTGGTCGTTGGAGAGGATGGCGGCCCAGCTCTGCATCACCTCATCGCGTCCGGCAATGGCGGGCCAGCCCGGATGAATGCAGGCCACCGACGCGCGCTCTGCCCACAGGCGGTTCATCGCCTCCAGATCGCGCATCTGAAAGGCGAAATAGAAGGTGTCGTTGGCGAACAGGACGTCGGCGTGTTCTTGCATGGACTCCAACCGCACCAGAGCGCAACGGCAGGCCGACCCGGCCGACCTTGCAGATGACGGCCCGATCTGAAAGCCCCCGTTCCGCCAACCGAAAATCAGGCTAGCACTTTCCCCAACCCCATGCGCGTGGTAACTCAGCCGCCGACACGGGTTGTTTCCAGGGTCTGTTCCAAGACGTGGTCCACCGCCACGGTCCCGGGCGCCCGGGGGCAGTGTTCGCCCGGGAACAGTGTTCTTGGTGGCGTTGAACTCTCGGCGGCGGCGAACTCTCGGCGGCGCTGATTTCTGGGCAGACGAGCGGGGCGACAGTGCTGCGGCGACTCTACGACTGGACTATGGATCTGGCCGGCCACCGCCATGCGCTGGCGGCCCTGGCGGTGGTTTC